CTGTTATACTTGTGTAATAATGCAGTAGTTGTAGTAGTATAAAGTACTCTGACTGTTATACTTGTGTAATAATGCAGTAGTTGTAGTAGTATAAAGTACTCTGACTGTTATACTTGTGTAATAATGCAGTAGTTGTAGTAGTAGTAGTATAAAGTACTCTGACTGTTATACAGTAGTGTGTAGTATAACTCTGACTGTATATAATAATGCAGTAGTTGTAGTAGTATAAAGTACTCTGACTGTTATACTTGTGTAATAATGCAGTAGTTGTAGTAGTATAAAGTACTAATAGTAATAATGCTCTGACTGTTATACTTGTGTAATAATGCAGTAGTTGTAGTAGTATAAAGTACTCTGACTGTTATACTTGTAATAATGCAGTAGTAGTAGTGTAGTAGTATATAAAGTACTCTGACTGTTATACTGTATAACTTGTGTAATAATGCAGTAGTTGTAGTAGTATAAAGTACTCTGACTGTTATACTTGTACAGTAGTGTAGTAGTATAATGCAGTAGTTGTAGTAGTAGTATAAAGTACTCTGACTGTTATACTTGTGTAATAATGCAGTAGTTGTAGTAGTATAAAGTACTCTGACTGTTATACTTGTGTAATAATGCAGTAGTTGTAGTAGTATAAAGTACTCTGAGTCTTATACTTGTGTAATAATGCAGTAGTTGTAGTATTTGTTGTCGTGGTCTTATTTCTCTGGGCCTCATGTCTCAGTGTTTCTCTTTATTGTCCCACTATAAATTTCACCAGTAAAAAATAAAATAATAAAATCATTTCTTCCCGCGACTCGCTCCAGGACGGGTCATGTGACCGGTGGGAGGGACGTTTCTCTCACCTGTCACGGGTTTGTTCAGTGTTGTTTGTTTTCATCTGTGTCTCCATTTTCACGTGGATTTAAAATGTTACAACTTTCCTTTTTACGTTAAATGTTTGAAGCAGCTGAGCCAAACTCTCACCTGAGTCTCGTGAACAGTTCCGTCTGTGCGGCTCTCGTCTTTAACTCTGGTTCATATCGTCGGTTCGTGTCGCGGTTTGTGCAGCACTGAGCTCCAACACTCGTGCACTTACACTTACATGTGCGATGTTTGAGGAGCATATTTCAGGTTAAAACACAGACTTTGTATAAACGGATCATCAGGCTCATGGAGAATTGTTATGGGGAAACTAGTTGTGTGGCTTATAATAGTTGTGACCAGCAGGGGGCATCAGTAAGAATGAACGATGACAGATGATGGAGTTTTTATGCCTTTATTAAAACATTGAACTCGCGGGCCGCTAGCTAGCACTTAGCATCCAGCACATCTAGCATCATTTTCTTGAAACATGTAACGGCCTCGAACACACGTCTGGAATCGTCTCCTGCCAAGAACTGCAAAAACACTCTACAAACAGCTTCATGTACATGTGCCTTTCTTCAAACCACCACTCACTTCTTTTATAAACACACGAGCTCCACACGACGCACTGAAAACAACTAAAACACGGACACAACGTCGACCAAACTTAAACACGATGACATCTGATTGGTTACAGTATCTGTCAATCAAACATCCGGCAGAATATATTATGTCCTTCAACACAAGTTTTCTGTTTACGAGACACTGGGGATAATAAACGAGAGAATAAAAGTTTACACAGTAAAGATGCATTGATTAAAACATAAGAGTCACTTTAATGATGCAGTTATTGATACTTGGATGAAATGGTTCATTTGAATTGAATGAGTCTTTACACACTGTGTGCGTTGATCTGGTCGTGTTTGGTTTGTTTTGGTCTGTGTGTGTTTGTCTGTGTGGATCTTTCAGTGTCGTAGTGTCGATAAACATGTACTTTATATTTATATTTAGAGGAATGTGTACTTCATGTCGTGCAGTTCTTTTTTTGTTTTTTTGGAGGCGTTTTATTCTTTGTGACCTCGTCCCTGTGACGTCGTGTCTTATTTTGATTTGACTCTTGTCGATGGATATCAGAAAGTTATTCCTTTTTTTTCACGTAGACCAGTTGGTTTCTGACACAAACATAATCACATCTGATGATTGTAAAGTTTGAAGCAATATTTATGTTTTTTATGATAAATAAGTGTAAAATTATTTGCTCATGTGCTTTGTGCACTTCCATTAATCATATGTGCCTCAGTAGAGGAACAGACCGAGTCATGCTCCTGTTGTGTAATAGTGCAGTAGTTGTAGTAGTATAAAGTACTCTGACTCTTATAGTTGTGTAATAGTGCAGTAGTTGTAGTAGTATAAAGTACTCTGACTCTTATAGTTGTGTAATAGTGCAGTAGTTGTAGTAGTATAAAGTACTCTGTGTACTTGTGGAGTTTGTAGGTTCCTGTGAAGTTTGTCCAGGGCAGTGCACGTGAAGAGTGTGCATGTGAAGTGTGTGCACGTGAAGTGTGTGCACGTGAGGTGTGTGCACGTGAGGTGTGTGCACGTGAAGAGTGTGCACGTGAAGAGTGTGCACGTGAAGAGTGTGCACGTGAAGTGT